AAGTGTGATACGGGAGGTGTTAAAAAGGAGAGAACGATGCGAGAAATGACACTACGATGTGGCAAAGCTGATACTTAAAGATGGGGATGGAAGAACATTAAAAAAACAAAACATCCCTCGAAGTAGACACACAAAGGAAGACAGAAATAAAATCGCCACGAGGAAAACGTCAGAAACTGAAACAGATGAAGGTTGTCCGCGAGGAAAAAATGAATTTGGATGATGGCTTAATATACTTATAGTATATATATTACCTTCACATAATTTTTATAATCATGATCCTTATTTTCCTTCAGCTTATAACAGCCCTACTTCAACATATATCATATATATATATATATCTATATATATATATATATATATATATATATATATATATATATATATGTATATATATAGATATATGTATATATATATATATATATATATATATATATATATATATATACATACATATACATATATATTGACTTTATATAGTTTATATCCTCATGATCCTTATTTTCCTTTTAGTTTATAACATCCCTACTTCGCCGGCCCTGAGTTGTTTATGAGAGCCGCCCAGATTCAACTCACGCCCACTCCGCTTGCCAAGGCCATTCGAACCGTCAGTCGAGGCGACAGCTTAACTGACCTCTGAATTGTGAAGAACTAAGGAATCTTAACGTCAGCTATCGTTACGCTGTCTTCTCTCTGACAGCAACGTTTAAACGACTGATTGTCACTAGGTTATTCTTCGGTTTCTTAAAAAAAACGGTATTAAGAAATAAGGATTGAGTAAAAACCGATGTTATTTTACCAATCGTTCCATATCCATCTCACAAACGAACGGAAAAATCTTGGACGCATATTCTTTTAAACCGAGTCTACGGTGAGAATACCCGCATAGAATCAGCAAGTACCATCTATCAGTCAGCGAGCCAGCGAGCGTGTGGCCCCCTGAAGAGTTGGTGCCAGCTGGCCACTAGCAGGTGAGAGCATTCCTTCAGCCAGCCAGTTCCTCGCTCACTGACTCATGGCCATATTTTTAGCAGCTAGACCTCAACCCACTCTTTCTGACTTCCTTCATCCCCGAGTTGTGAATCCCGGCTCGAAGGCCCTGGGGTTTATTCTTGACGTTTCGCAGGTGCTAGTTAAACGGGGGGGATTGATCGTGTTGATTATATGCAAGGCGTAAGCGATGGTCATATTGTAGATAATATTAAAAATCAAGGAAGAGAAAGCGTGGACAGATTAACAATGAAAACAAATACACGGATGTTCTTCAGCAGATTTAAACACTTTTACCCAACTCTGTCCACGTTCTCAGTTGCCAGATGAAGAACATTATCGCAATTTGGATCAAAGAAGTGCGAAGCTTTTATCTCTTAACCGGCAATGCATCCGTTCACCCATCGACGCGACAAGTGCCCTTACCACACACCGTTTCGTACATGCAGTCTGATGACTTTTGCAGTTTTCTATTTCGTATTTTATCTTTTCACAACTGCTCGTTCTCTATTTTTATTGAATAAATCATCGGTACATGTATCCTAGAGTTTTTATTTCTCTGTAGTTACTTAAAAGAGATGGACCGTCGATAGTATTATTTTTCAAAATCAACTGTAGCCTTTTTCTCTTCTTCCTTTAAGCTAAAGATGTAGGGCAAAATTAAGGGTCAAAGAGAGAATCTAAGGGGAGGAATATGTCTTTGGATAAGTGTCAAAAAATGGGGATAGGGGAAAGGGGAAATAGGGAGCTAAATGGAGGAATCATTCTTTGAAAAAATGATAAAAAATAGGGGTAAGGATAACAGGGAAGAGAATAGAGGGGCACGCTGTGTGTATAAGTGGGTATGGAGAAGTAATGGAATGTATCTTTCTTTGAATAAAGGGCAATGGATGGGGTTGAGGAAGAGGGAAACATGATGTTAATGGGAGGAACCTCTAGATAATAATGGGCATGGAAAGGGGAAGAAGAAGAAGAAGAAGAAGAAAAAATGGGTGACCGTTTCTCCGAACACGTGAAAAAACCTGTTCGCTATTATTACTCTCTTTCACTATCGACTCTCTTATTTCCTCTCTTTCGCTAGCACAGTCGGTTGTGTGGCTTCCGTATTTTTTTCTCTCTCTTACAACGTGATCCCTAGTTATGTGCGTTGGCGTTCGTTAGATTCTTAATTATGGTGTTATCATAAATCCCCATATTCAATATTGTTTGATCCGGGTTTAACTATAATTAATCGTTCCTCTTATTTCCTACATCTTAGCGCTTTTCATCTTCTCTACTCTATACCATCCCAGTCATCCTTAAAACATGTACTATAGAATTAATTGCCTAAAACCACTGAATGTACAACTGGGAGAAAAGTCTTATATGATCTTCGGTCATGTGTGAAGGTATTCGTTACTTGTTACCGTAACTGCACACTTCTTAGTTTCCTCCAAATCCACACTGATTCCCTTTGAAGCTTAACCTAAGCCTGTGGAACAAATCTCTCTTTACGTGCTATTGAGTAATT